TATTAAATTACTGTTKATAACGTTAATCGATAAAAAAAATCATTAATTTTGTCTTACATAGGTCCAGTTATGCATTCCTATCCTCCAATTATGAATCATTGTCTTAATAATTACTGTTCTCCATTTTTAAATATTACTTACCCAGATGTTGAGATAAGGTCATGCTGATCATTTGAACTCTTACAAAGTTTGAGTTATGTCATAAATCTAAAATGCCAGGTTATATAATATGTTAATTTCAAGTAAAACAATAATTTTGATAGATACCCAGTTTTAATGTAATGCACGCGGTATTCAAAGTTGGAAATCTGAATTTTTTTCATAAGTTAAATGTTTTCGTGCTTACATTTCATTCTGGGTGGACCCTTGATGGACGAATTCGATCTTTTTTTCACTATTATTTGGTCACAAATTTGAATGTAAAGGGTTGGATATCAGTCTGCCATATCCAGAGCGGTGGGTGGGAGTCAGTACAGTGTCGTTTGCATACTGCCATAGACAATTTTTACTGTTATGTAATTATAGCTRATTTTACTTTGTAATTTTCATCACAAAATTTTGATTAGGTTAYCCATGATATGCCTATTTCAAATATTAATTAATTTTATTAGGAAAAATGTCACCTCAATTTATGAAATATAAAACAAAACTACCAGAAATAAGTTAATAACAATTTATATATTACAAATAATATTATTTATTTACATAATTTAATACACTGAAAATTCAACAATGTACAAAGATATATGTTATTGAGGTGTAAATAATTTGTTTATGAGTAACATTTGAATATTTAATGAGTCCACCTGAAACAAATGAATAAATAATATGTGGATAAGTATAATGGAAACAATATCATAACCAGGGCTCGGAAGTTATAGCACTAATAAAGTAATTTTTTAGCGCCTTAATATGCATTTAAAAACACCACAATAAGCGCTATAAATAGCACTAAAGATTGGAAAATATGTAAATTAAAATTTCATTAATAAACAATTTTTATTTAAAATTTTTTTATAAACTAATTTTTAGACWTTTTTAAATTATACAAGTTTTATATAAAATATGAYATACTAAATATTTGAGAAGTAGGCACTTTTCCGGCTCAGAAACATTTTCTATCTAACCTTCAAACGAATTCGATAACTGCAGTACATTTGATAAAATTTTAAAAATAACTAAATTATTGGAAACAAACGGAATAACCTGTGCGATCGGCAATAGTAACTAAAATGTACCTACTGTTTGTCTTTGTTAGCATATTCATTATTCAATACAATTTAGTTAGTTTATTTTCATTTTATATAAAATATGCTTKTAAATAGCACTTAAAACTCAAAATTAGCAAAATCACAAATATGCAAAAATTTTGTATATGACATTAGAGAAGTTTGAAACAATTTTGTATCTTACTCTGAATGTCCAAAGACCAACCAATAAAAATATGCATTTGCTAGAACTTCCGARCCCTGATCATAACCAAACATTCATGTTCATTATTCATTTTTAGGGCTAGTTGTCTACGGTTAAACTTCGATTACGCTTAATCAGCTGATAACAGATATTTAACCATGCAAATTCGGCCGACTAAACTACGGTTSACTTTAATCAGAGACGGTACAACTGGCCCTTAGAATTATATATTTGTACAGATAWTGTTTAAATAAATCACATTCAAATAATATAAATATAGTAAAAATAATAACGCTTACAGTCTAAGTACTTTGTCTTTTCCACCRGAAGCAACTTTATGTCCATCTGGAGACCAATCAACAGCAAAAACTTCATCAGCATGACCAGGAAGATCACCTTGTAATTTTTTAGCTTTCACGTCCCATACTAAAAACAATATTTATTATTTAAATGTTTCAATACGATAAATTATTTMAAAAATATGGACCTTTCAATGTTGAATCTGCACTTCCACTGACTAGTAGTCTAGAATCAGCAGACCAACATATCATGTAAACCGCTTGTACATGCCCTCGCATTGTTCCAAGAAATCTAAGAAAAAAATAATTTTTCAATAACAYATGAATTATTTTAAATATATGACCAAACWTACTGTCCAGTTTTTCCATCCCATAATTTTATAGATTTGTCGAATGAAGCAGACGCAGCTATTCGTGTGTCAGGAGAAAACTGTACACAATTGATCAGCTGTTGATGTCCAGTCATTCTTGCTACACAATAGGCAAAACATTCAAATATTGTTGATAATATATTAATATCAATAAGTTCATGGATGACTATTTTAGCAGGATTAACAAAAATCATTACCAATAGAGTTTTTACTACTTTCAGGAGCCCATAAAAAAAGTGTAAAATCATCAGATCCAGAAATCAATCGTTCACCACCGTTTGCTACAGCCACATCATATCGTTTTTTAGCTTCGGCTAATACATTATCAACTATAAAAAATTCATATAAGCATTTAATACAATTATATTTAAACATAAGCAAATAAATATACTTTTATCATTGTTAGAACAAGGTTGGGGCACCATTGCTGTTTTTATCACATAGTCAGTACTGAGTGCAAGAGTGTTCACCCAATGAGCATGTCCTTCCAACGTCCTACATAAAATGCCCTAAACCATTAAAATAAAGGCTTTAAGACATTAATTAATTTTACAGTACATCTCGTTATTTCGTTGCATAATGGGCCAAAAGAGTCAGATTACAAAAAAAATCTTGACTACGGGAAATACTTATTTATGTATTAGGTATTTTTAATTAAATCATAGAACATTAGTATATTGCTATCAATACTTGTAATGTTTCTTTCTCAAGGAATGTTTCTTTTTTCAAACTATGATTAGGAAAACAGATAACACGTGGTTAACTGATCGTAAGAAGGGGCAAACTACTTGATGTGTTGGGATATTGCATAACTGGGTTTTAGAGATTGAATTATATTGCATATAACCAGGGCTCGGAAGTTTTGCAAATGCATATTTAAATATATTATATTATATTAGTTTTGGAACATTCAAAGTAAGATACAAATTTGTTTCACATTTCTCTGATGCGGTATACAAAATTKTATGTAGCTAGTTTTTGCATATTTACAGTTTTTAGTGCTATTTTGTTAATTTAGAGTTTTAAGTACCTATTTACTGTCATATTTTTATATAATAGAAATGAACAAAATTTTATGAAAAATAAAAATTTTGAATAAAACAGCGATATATGAYTATGCGAACAATAGGAAATGTTCCAGAGCCGGACCAAGTACTGACCTGCAAAATATCTACCACTATATTTTATGCCTACATTTTGTATGAAAACATAAACATTTCAATTTGTATATTTTTCAATATAAAGCGTTAAAAATGTACTTTAATAGTGCTATAACTCCCGAGCTCTGCAGATAAAATTACGATAACAGTATGATTTATTTAATCTATTTTRGTATTTACTACTTACATCATTGGCCCTCCAAACTTTAATYGTACGATCTTGTGAACTACTATACAATAAGCCAGATCCACCCCACTTTAAACAAGTGATACTGCGGGTGTGACTGGTAAGAGACCTTTGGCACTGACCAAGTATTACATCCCAAATACGAATATCCCCATCTTTACTACTACTCGCAAATCTAGAATAACATTATGAATTATTAGAGAATTTAATGAAATAGAAAAAGTTAAATACTTAAATGTTCTTACATTCTACACTCTGGGGATAAATGATATGGAGCCCAACATAGAGCAGTAATCCATTGCTTGTGTCCAGTCATTGGTGGACCAACCCGTTTGCCAGTTTCAACATTCCAAGACATAATCATTCCATTTTTGCAACCTGATACTAGATATTTACTATTTGGAGACCAGGCAATACACAACACCCAATTCTTATGACCTATAATATACATAACATTATAAGATCGCTTAATTAATATTAATAATGATTAAATTTGAAGTCATTAATGATTATTGGAAGCAAACCTTCACAGGTATGTAACGGTGTTTGCATATCCAGATCCCAAAACCTGACCGTYGTGTCACCTGACCCGCTGGCCAGTTTACGGCTGTCTGGACTGAACTGCACTGATATCACGGCTTCTGCGTGACCTGGTAAAGAACTAAAAACGTTTTATGGTGACTTACAAAAATACAACAATAATTATCTATGTAGGCACATTTTACATTTCAGTCAAACACTGACCTAGTACATCGGGTGATGGGTCGTACTTTAAACACGGCTTGTTCTTGATAGATAATATCAATTACGAGCTCAGTGCTGAATTTTTTTTTTGCATCAAGACATTCGTCTAAATTGTTGGTTATTTCTTTGTCGTCGACAAAAAATGCGTATGGCACAGACTCGTCCTAAAATTGTATCGTTTTCATTAGTTTATTTACTACGTAAAATACACTCCAGGGCTGTTGTTCATCATTATTACTTGTTTGAGTAATGAATTGCAAATCAGTTGTAAATGTTTGACGGTGACGTCTCGAGGTAAGTCCATCATGTTGCTGACCGTCTCACCCGTTTCCGATTTGAAACGGGCCAATACCGTGCTCACTGCRTCCTCGGTCATTTTGTTGGAAATGGCTATCACAATTAAAAAGTCTGACAAAAATACATGAACGTCATGAACCACAAATATGACAGAAATCAACTGGACAAGACAGTACACAGTAACACTGTAACTAGTGTAACTGCAACAGTCTGTAAGAAGTGTAAGATATACTTTGAATTTGAAATTTGTATACAAATAGACAATGTACACCTCTACATGCGTGAATGCCACATGCGSGCACCGACTGCCGGGTACAGGAATGATAATCACTAATCAGACAATTTATAATGATACAATAATTGTTGCATTTGTGGTGTTACCAACGTAGGAAAAATGATTTACTTAACCATATTTTAAATTCGGACTGGCATTATCAATTTATTATCGTGGTAACCTTAGATCATTAATTACTGGTATATTATGATCTAAGGCGGTAACTGAYCAACATAGCAGCAGCTGTTAACGATTGAATTTTCTTCTCCATWATCTGCCGTGCTAAGGTCGTTTCTCACAGTCTCGTACTCTCGTGTGTCGATAGTTATAAACTTATAAATTATTTTCGACTTTTTGACTTTCAGTGAGCTACGATTAGCAGTTAGCAGCGTTAGCACACTTATCGTGTTGGACAAAAGAAAATAACTTAAATCATCGCCACCATGTCAAGAGTAATATTAGCGCAATTGAAGAAATCCAACTGTAAGTACTCATAACTGATTAATGTACTACTGTAACTATGCAGTCTGCAGAATTCGAATTTATGATCTCAACTCAACTTTGATAAACGTGTCTAACGTGTCTAACACTTTGATATTGATGTGTTTTTAAAGCCGTGTTGAGAACGTCCGTGCGTTCCAAAGCTGATGGTCACCATGCCACTTATAAACCCCTGACGATGGATGACATGCCAGTCCCAAAGGTGCCATGGAAGGAATACCACGGCAAAACTAATACCAAATACAACCTAGTATTAGTTGGTGGAATCGCTGCTCTTGCGACATCCATCTACGTTGTTAGTATAGCCTATTGCTTTTGGTACCATATTTTTGTAATTATCTAATATCAGATGTATTGCATACTATTAGTGTTCTGTGTGGATTAAATACGGCAGTTCAAATAATTTTGTTTAAATTTGGGGGAGGGGGCTCTAAAATGTACGAGCACCCATCTGTCTTCATCTAAAACTTCAACATGTTAACTGCTTTTAAGTTAATCATACTACCTATATTACATTTAAAATTTGATGATAATATAAAAGTATGTAACTTCTACCAGCATTTTTATCATATCTACCACCAAATCATTCTATGAGGTCCATCTGCTCCCTACGATTTGTGCAACTAAATAGATACTRTATTCAATAAAAATCTAAATAATATCGACCTTAAGTTCAAACTTGTTTTACATTTGTACAATGTAATATCAATACCATGTCATCATATTTTTCTCAAATTTATGATACTAAAATACTTATGATTTATATTTGTAAATTATAATTATATAAATATTAATTATCATATGTTTATTTATTCAGTTACAGGACAACTGTTTCTTCAATGCTTTTGCACCACCATACCCTTTCGAAGAAACTGAACAGAAGTAAATATGAGTATATATTTTTTTATCATTTGTTTCCGTGTAGTAATTAATATT